ACCCTTGAGGCCCTAAACCCTAAACCCTTCAGGCCTTACCCAGCTTAAAGGGCCGCTACTGCTCTTTCTGAAGCTGGCCGTGGGACCCAAAAGAAACTCATGCCGGGGCCACATCTTAGGGCTACAGATGTCCTTATGAGGGCTTTAGGGTTTAGGGTTTGAGGGGTTTAGGGGTTTGGAGTTTGTTAGGGGTTTAGTGTTTTAGGGTTTCGGGTCTATGTGTTTAGGGTTCAGGGGTTTAGGGGTTTCGTATAGGGTTCTGCGGTTTACACTGGTTCTTTCTGGGTTTAAGATTCAGGGCTGTGGCCGCGGGCCATCTGGATCCTTCTCCTCCTGGGCTAACATCTCAGACCCTCAGGCCTGTAATCCCGAAACCTTATGTAAGCCCTAAACCCTTAAACCCTACTAAACCCTAAAGCCCTAGAATCCCTAAGCGGTAGTACCCTAGTAGCCCTAAAGCCCTAAATCCCTAAAATCCCTAAACCCTACACCCTAAAGCCCTAAAATCCCTAAAATCCCTAAAATCCCTAAACCCTAGTAGCCCTAAAGCCCTAAATCCCTGAAATCCTTAACCCTAAACCCTAAAGCCCTAAAATCCCTAAACCCGACACCCTTCAGCCCTAAAATCCCCAAAATCCCTAAACCCGACACTGCTCAGCCCTAAAAGTCCCCAAAAAAAGAACCCCAGACCTTGTGAACCGGAACCTGCCGAGCTCGCGACGCTACCCTGGGACAAAATCATGAGGTCGCCCTCATCCAGCACCTGCTTGGTTTGGGGTTTAGGGCTTTAGGGTTTTAGGGTTTAGGGTTTAGGGTTTAGGGTTTTAGGGTTTTAGGGTTTAGGGTTTAGGGTTTAGGGGCTTCACACAAAGGGTCGAAATTGAACTTGGTAGTGTAGGGGCCTTAAGAATTAGAGTAGGGTTTTGGGGCTCCTTCATGGCAGAAATATAATAAGGAACCGAAGTATATAATACAGGGCCTTAATAATTAGAATAGGGTTTTGGGGTCCTCTACAAAATAATTAGAATAAGGAACGCCCAAAACAGTAGAGGTAATTATTAAGGCCCCTATAGTACTGCATACAACTTGGTACTTGAACCTGTGCTGCTACAGCCTAGTCTTTGAAGTTGGTCTCCAGAGTCTCATGTACGAGTGATACCAGCCGCGGTAATTATAGCTGATTTGTGGAAGGGTTTGTGTGGCCATGTAGGACTTTGTATGGCTGAATCGGAAGTAGCATGGATCGTGGCCTAAACCCTAAACCCTAAACCCTAAACCCTTGGCTCCTACCGCATTTTACAATGTCTCTCAGCTCGGCTTGGGTACTCGTTGTCTCCAGGAACACTATGAAAGACTGACTGACTGACTCCCTGATCAATGAACCCCCTCGGCTTCATATGGATGATAGTAAGGATCCGAATAACACGCTTGAAGAACGGTGATTTGTTAATCAGGGCTCTACATGTATCGGCAGTCTGCGTTCCTTTCGAAATTCGCACATCACACCCCGAAACCCGCAATCTGAAAACCACCTCCCAAAACCTAAACCCTAAACCCTAAACCCTAATTAACATCAACATAAGCCCCCAGAGTCCCTGGGTCCTAGACATCAGCGCCCAGCCCTGAGCCCCTCAACCTGAAACATCCCTGAACCCCAAACCGACATCCCGGAACCCCAAGTGGCCTCGTCTACGGAGGGGAACCTCAGGTGCAATGCCGAGTTTGAGCGTGCAGCTGGCGGAGAAGCTCTTTGGGTTCAGGATTGGGTTTCACATCTACGGATTTTAGGGCCAGTGGCCAGCCCGATGCACTTAACGGATTATCATAGTCCAGGAACTACTGTAGAAGTCTGCCACGGTGTCTCGAACATCCAGTATCAAACACAGCAGTTCTACAGCCCATTACAGTTTTGCAGCGGTGAGCTTGTGTGCGAACGGTCGCGAAGTAAATAAAGGCTTGTCGAGGATGTGAGCACCCGCGCCAGTGCGTAACTCAATCTGTCCCAATCACAAAGGGTTAGCTAGGCGACTCCCGTGAACTTCCCCGCCCTCAGAGGAAGGTTCGAGTCTGCTAAAACATGAGGCGCATTGCTAAAGCCGATCTGAAATGAGCTGAGATGTAAGCCCCTCCACACACACAAAAGCAAAAACTTGCGAACAGGAGACCTGACGTCATGCTGTAAAGCCCCTACATCCTCAACGGCCAAGCCCCAATCTCTATACCATCAACCCCTTAAGCCCTGAAGCCCTAAACTCTAAACGGGCCTAAACATCTTCTAGTTTCAGGTTCCCGGATTCCTCGAGGTGCCGAGCTGCCACTGCGTCGTGCCCTCGGCACGCACGATGCCGCACATTTCTGGAGCTCGCAGCTCAGGCACCTGCAGAATGGTTTCTATGTGTATATGTATATACATATATGTATATATATATAGGGTTTCTATATCTATCTATCTATCTATCTATCTATCTATATATATATATAATTATATACATACATACATACATACATACATACATACATACATACATACATACATACATCTCTGGAGTTTGCGTGAGACGCGTCTAAGGTAGCTGCCCAGCCCGGTCACGATCGCCTGGTACCCTGCAATATAGGCCGGGGCATTGTTGATGCGGGCTTTGAGGCATATTGCCACCCAATGGAAAGATGCCAAGTTGAAACTGCAAAAGCCTGCCTAGGTTTCAGGGTTTAATGGTATATACAAGGCTTCAGAGAATGGGTTTGCGGAGGCTAACTAGCAACACCGCGCAGGGTACTCCTTCCCCAGGCTGCTACCCTCTGAAACACCCACACGCCCTGCACACAAACAAAACCGAAAGCCCTAAACCCTATAAACCCTAAACCCTAAACAGCAATCAAATGTAATATTTGGATACGTTTTCATTAGTTGTGAAGCATAAATTTTTCCCTGTGTAATCTGATTTGAAAAAACCCTAAACCCTAAACCCTGGGCCCCCATGGCCTTTGGAATCCGCGCCGTCTTCTTCCAGGCAGTTGGACTTCGCTTCGGCCTCGGAACTATGGAGGAGCTGTGGGGCGCCTGGCTTTGATCTTTGTCACTGCTTGCTGTTAAGGGTTCTTGGTTCATGGCTTTGGGTTCAGGGTTTAGGGTTTAGGGTTCAGGGTTTAGTTTAGGGTTTAGGGTTCTTGGTTCATGGTTTTGGTGTCTGGAATCGTGTTTAGTGTTGTCTGATTCGGGGATTTTCACTTAGGGGTTGACGCCGTTTTTTGCTGTATCTGTTGCTTGCGCGGTCGTGGATTTGTTGTTAAAGTAACGATTCTGGCGTGAGCGAACAGGAAGCTTAAAACTCATTTTCACCCGCTTGTACTCGAAAGCAAGCTAGCTTGTAGGCCATTATCCAAACCCTGACAGCACAGCAAGCGCAAACAAGCTGAAGAACCCACCAAAGCAGCCACTAAGCTGAAACAAATCTCAATCCGAAACCCTGCTCAAGACCAAAAAAGACCCAACGGCTATCCAAAGAAAACACAACCTCTATCCTATCAAACTCCAAAGCCCCCCCCCATGGTCCAAAAAAAAAAAACGCAACGCCTTAAGCCCAAAAGGCCCTCCCCCCCTCCTCCAAAAAAAAAGCTGCACATGACCCCCAAAACCCTAAACCCTAAACCCAAACCCTAAAAACCCGAAACCCCCCAAGCCTTCCTTCCCGGGAGTCCCCCCTGGGCTCACGACGTCGTCTCGGGAGTCTTCGTTCCAGTCCTCCCCAAAACCCTAAACCCAAAACCCTAAACCCTAAACCCCAGCTAGTTTAGGGTTTAGGGGTTCAAGGTT